AATATAGAATTTTTAAAACCCTTAAAATTCTCTCCAGAAGTGTGGCAGCACAGAAAAAGCTGTTCCCTGAACTCTGAACTAACTACACTATTTCCCTTGCCTTACTTTACCTAACACTGCAAACATCTGAGACATTTGGATACCCCAGTCTAAATATCCAGTAAAATTCTCTCTTACAAATAGCCACTCACTGAGCCTTGATTTGTAAACACTAGCAACACTTTTTAACCTTGTGAGAATGAACTTGGGGGAAGATAGTGTACTTGAGGAGGCAATTTTCAGGTCCTGGATACCTGGAGGCTGGTCTAGAAGTTGACGGCAATACTGATTAGAAGGGAACATGTTTGTTTTGCTCCATGGAAAGCTGCAACTAGAAGAGGTCAAACAACACCTGGGCCCAAAATAGGGACTTTAAAAAATCTTTCTGAATGGGCAGCACCAGAGAAAGGGATAGACTGAGAAGGATGAAAAATCATAAATTCTAACTGCAATAGGTTAGGCTTAAAATGGCTTAGCACTCAAGTGATGATATCCAATAAGCAAATGGACATAAGAATTTGGGATGTCCAAGCAATGTCTGACTGGTAGGTACCTGATTCCTTCTTCATCTCAACACCTGTTGCTATACTGGATGTATCTAATACACAAACTGATCTCATTTTTTGACCATATTGACTTGAATGATCTTTACATATTCATTAATTCATTTCAGAAATAGTTACTGATTGCTTATTATCTGCCATTTATACACCAAGGTTAGAAAGTTGTACAGGACAACATGTTCCCAAACTCTTATGTAATATAAAATAATTCAACTTTAACATCATACAGACCCCTAATTTTCCTCCAGACTCTTTAACTTCCTTCATATCAAATAACTACCCTGTTCTGAGTGTAATAGAGAAAAATGTTTTATCATGCAGATTAAGGCAATAATGAATTAATGGCTCAACCATGGTTCCTGTTGCAACCTTACTATATGAAATTCTTTCTACATAGCTCTGCTCCCTTTTTTTGATTTATTTCATTTTGTTTATTTATGTCTTTTTTTTTTTTTTTTGGTACCAGGGATTGAACCCAGGGGCACTTAACCACTGAGCCACATCCTCAGCCCATTTTCCATTTTTTTTTTTTAATTTAGAGACAGGGTCTTTCTGAGTTGACTTGGGCCTTGCAAAGTTGTGAGGCTGGCTTTGAACTCACAGTACTCCTGCTTCAGCCTCCCAAGCTGCTGGGACTACCACTGTGTGCCACTTGCACCTGTTGTCCCTCTCCCTTTTCTTACAGTGGATGTTTCAAGCTCTTGCCATTATCTTTGCCTGTCATCCTTGAGTTACCAAAAGGACAAGTGCTTTGCCTGATCTTAATCTCATTTTGGATGATGAAACTCTGAGACAGTCTGAAGAGTTGGAGGAAAAAAAAGAGCCTCCAACACCCTTCCAACATAACTCATTGATCAAACAAGCATTCAGCATTAAATACTAGACATTTAAAAAGTGATAAAGCAAGGAAAAGAGAAGGATAAGTGGAGGGAAAGAAGGAGGGAAGGAAAGAGAAGAGGGTGTGAAGACTCCTCCACTTTACCTGTCCCTTAATGTTCCCACTTGAAGCTTGAAGAAATGGAAAAATTTTCTAACATGAACTTGGCAGACTGTGGTGTTTTGTTAATGGTTCCTCTGCCACTTAATTTCTTACCAGGCTCTTTAGCAGGGATTAGTATAAACAGGGTAGATGTGTCAAGAGGAATCACACCACCCTTACCTCACAAAGACTGGTCTTTCTATATCATTTTTCTCCCATCCCTTCACCTTTGCTTGGAAATCAGAAGCTTGGATTTGTTCTCAATGGTTCCTAAATCCTTCAAGACTCCTCATGCAACAGGGGACAGATTACTACTGTCAAACTGGCTTAGTATATCCTTTCAGTGATGTTTTACTGATTCTATAAAATAATATTACTCAAAAATTTCCATGGCACATGTACTATCCTTTCTTACATCTCAAGGTGTAAGATAAAGTAAATTGTTCTGCATATCTTCCACTCTAATTTAAGCCTCAAATTTTAAAGAAACAATTTTTTAAATCACCTGATTAAAAAGGTAGCTCCATTTCTAGGCTTCCATGACTTCATGGTCTACTTCTGTTATGGAACTCATCACCCTGTACTGTAATTCAGGATCAGACCATATCTAGTTTGCATCTGTATCCCCAGTTAAAATTTTAAAAACAGAATAATTGCTAAATAAGTGTTGATAAATAAATAGTGAGTTAAAAGAACATAGATGTAACACAGAAGATTGGACATACAGGTATCAATAAATTTTCATTAATTTATATGAATATATTTCAATTATTTATACTTGTAGTAGATGTTTACTTTTAAGTGTTGTAAATATAAGAATAGTTTATCTCTGCATAGCAATATATTTCACAATGTACTATTTTGGAAAATAAATAATCTCAATCATCCGTCATAAAACTAGTGGGGAGGCTGATGTGAATGTACCCATTACACAGATGATTAGGCACTCCTTATTTTACTTGCCCAAGATCATAGTCAGAGTATATATTTGCCTCAAAATATCTAAAAGTTCTATTAAGCCTAAAAACAACAGTATTTGTTTAAAATAAGTTATAAAAAAAGAAGTATGTAAAGTCATGTATTAAGGATAGCAAAGTCAAATATGTGTTAGTCAACTTTTGGAAGATGAGCTGCATCAGAATCCTTAGTAAAAACATTCCCATCCCAATAATACTCTTGTGAACCTAAATACAAATATTTGGATCCTAAAATATAGTGTTATGTTTTTTTCCACCTTGTGTAACTATGACTGGGAAAAACATATTTACATTACTTAGACTCTGGGTATATAACAATAACGGGTAAGATATTTAGTGCTACTGTGAATATTTTATATACAACACCTTAATTCCTTAAATACCTTCTTTTCGGTATACTTTCATTCCACTTCATATTATGAAACCCAAGTTTAGAGAAGAGAGGTAATTTGCATAAGATCTCACAGCTAGTAATCAATAAAGCAAGTATCTGAATTTGAGATTTCCCTAGAGTTTACAAAATTAACTGTCATATTATGCTGACTTCCTCTTCATCAAAATCTGTCCCCTGTCACTTCCATTTCTGTGAAGAATTCCTGAATTATAACTACTCATCTTTTCTATGAACAGGAAAATAATAATTACTTGCAGTTCTGTTTCTCCTCGTGACTATTATGTATATATTCTACTTTCTATTTTTCTATAAGATTAACTTATTTTTTAAAAAAATGTTGTTTATGTTGGTACCAAAATCTCCCAATGGAATTAATTAACTGATATTCTCTATTGCATTGCATATGCAAAGTAATAAATGCCTTCTCAGATTAATAGCTGAGGCAAAGCTAAGGTGGTTAATGAGTCTCAAAGCCTATTTACTTTGAGGGAATAGTGATTATTGTTCTTTTACAGTCAACCATATCATTAGGAAGAAATACAAGAAAAATATATTTTACCTCACCTGAAAGTGTTGGGAACAGTGTTCCTGTGAAGTGTTCAATGAGATACATTCTTATATATTATGTAAATATTCTGGTAGATTTTAAAAAATGATTTATAGTTTGGTGAGGTTTACTAAGATAGTGCAGTGTAGACTAATAAAATGAATAAATTTGAGAAAAAAATCAGTGAAGTAAAGGAAATGAAAAATTTTAGTTATAATAATAATGTACTCCTAATAACTTATGTACAAATTCTATTTAATTTTTCCGGACTGTGGTTTACAGAAATTGTTCCTCTTGTTTGATTTAATTGCATGAAACTCACTGCAAAAGAAACTTAAATGAGTCTCTAGTTTCATCACCTGAGGGAAATAAAATATTGGCTAATATGAAAACTGTTTCAAATGGCTATTATGTGTGCATAAAAACTATGCTCTGGTGTACCAATCAGGAAGACATTTGGAAATATTTTTCTTCTTTTTATTATCATTTACCATAATCTTCAATAAAAGTATTATAAAAATGATCTGTATGTCAATCATTTCCAGGATGAACAATATTTCCCAAAAATGGATGTTACAGAACAAGAATATTATCTGCTTTCCAGCTGTGGGTTCATCTGGGACATAAATATAACATATTGCACCATGTCTATAATTACTGGATTTTATTCACAGCAAAATCAAAATCAGGTATGTTATATCAAGCCTGTCATCCAAAACTATGTCCTACTTATATGGATGACAAAACAAGTGATTGAATATATCAATATGGTACAAAAACATTTTTGTCTTGGAATCTAAGATTTCATAATTTTTATAACACCTAGTGGCACTGATGTCATAACTTAGTAGTATATTTTTAAGACACAGGTAATCAATATTATCATCAAACGCATTAGCTACCTTGTTAGGAAGTATTGGTTGACCCTATTCAATTATGTGAATAAAAGTACTCAAATCTACCAGATACTTTATTAAAACCTTGAAATGATTAGTAACAACAGGTATCTAAAAAAGTTGTTAAGTGTTGTTAATACAAAAAAAAAGAGGACCCCACTTTATTTGTATTATTTAATCTGGGCGTATAAATAATGTTGATAATCTATAATTGAGAAAGTTTTGCCTATCTATGTTTTCTGTTATCATTACATTTCTAGACAGAGGAAAGCAATAATCTTCTAATTCCAGCATCCTTACTTCATTACCTTGTAGTTTCTGCTATCCACATTTGACCCAGTTATATCATGATTACTTCTTAATACTTTTTAATATCAGAATTTCTTTTTTCTTTCTTTCTACTCAGTTATGCATGGGGCACTGTGCATCTTCATCGAGGTCCCCTGAAAGAAATATGATTTCTTTTTATTTTGTTGTATGAGCACACACACACAGAGAAGTGTCCTTTTCACTTTCAAGTTACACTTTATATAGATTGTGAGTATAAATCAGTAATTGGATCATTGTGTAAGTTTTTTAAAAAAATAAAATCAATGAACAATCTGAACTTTTCCTGCCTATAGTTTATTTTTAATTTTTTATTTGTTCTAAATAGTTATACATGACAGTAGAATACATTTATGCACTTTGATATACATAATTCTTGCCTATAGTTTTTAAATTCATCGTAATTGACTCCAGGTTTTAGTTTGGCATCGAATTATCCAACAATGTGCACTACTTTTTCAGGTTTCAGGATAACTTGAAAATGTCTCATTGTGATTCAGATGTGGGAAAATCATCCTGTTAGTCACTCTCAGGGAATTTTAAAGGAAAACTTCATTTGATATTGTGGCTACAACAGTAGCCCTTTACTTCAGTGTTCATTTATTTGTTCATTCATGAAATAACAATTTAGCACGAACCAATATATCAAGCACCCTGCTACAAATGTACAAAAGGCTATCAGATGCCCTAAGAGCTCTGAAAATCATGTGGTATAAGGAAGATCAGTGAATCGACTGCTGAGATAAGCTTCAGACTTGGAGTTAGACACATTCTCCACTGGGAGTGAAATGTCACTGGAGTTCTAACTTGTAGGACATGATGGTCTTTCCTGATATCAGTCTGTAGTATTTACAAAATGTGGTGCACAAGATGAATCTGTGGGGAAAAAGTACCCTATTTTAGACAAGTTCAAGCACATATTTTTCACATTTTAGCAAGTCTGAAAGCAAATTATAGTATGCAGCTAATGGTATGCAAAGTGGAATTGACAGTATATTTTCCCTTAAGAAAACAACAGTGCACCTCACATTAAATGACATCTTAGATTTAATGATATATAGGAAGCTACTGTTCTGTTAGGCATCACTTGGGTGACACTTCTACTGGGATAGCAAAGCAAATCCTGATTAGCTTCTCTTCAATTATAAAGGGTTCATCTCCCATATACTCTCCACAAAAACCCAAGCCCTATATCATAATTTTAGCAATCATCTTGAAAAATGGCCTAAATAAGTTGTTTATGACTAGCTTATCAACTTTCAAGAAATAGCTGCCACTCACCCACGCTTTTTACATTTGGTGAAATAAGATCATAGAAGGTCTCTTCCAAAAGCCTAATATTTTATGTTCATAAAACTTTTTAAAACATTGTATACTTGAAAACTGCTAAAAGATTTTAAATATTCTCATCCCCCCCCACACACACACAAAATAAAAATGTAAGGTGTTAATTAGCTTGATTTGTCAATATGTTAATTAGCTTTATTTAGCCATTATATAATACAAATATATATGTATATATATATGTATCCATATGTGTATATATAAAAATATATATAAATAATATATATACACATTTTATATATAAATTACACACACACATACATTCTTTACAATATAAAAACAATGCTTAAACATTGGAATTAGTTAATGGATGGAATATTCTATTAGGGACCTCCAGTTTTATCTTCATCCATCATTTTACAGCCTTATTACAAAGACCATATTAAAGGTAGCAATCATCATACAAATTTCAGGTGGTGGAACAAATTATTTCCAAGGATAACCTACTATAAAATATTTCCAAACACTCTATTTTTCAAATGAAAATTCCCACTATACAGGAACTAAGTCTCACAAGTCTTAAAAATATGTAGATGTTGCCAGGATCAGTGATGCATGCCTGTAATCCCAGCAGCCTGGGAAGCTGAGGCAGGAGGATCACAAGTTCAAAGCCAGCCTCAGCAAATGAGAGACACTAAGCAACTCAGTGAGAGTCTTTCTCTAAAATACAAAATAGAACTGGGGATGTGGCTCTGGGGTCGATTACCCCTGAGTTCAATCCCTGGTACCAAAAAAATGTGTGTGTGTGTAGCTATTATATAAATATGAATAGATAAATCAATATATAACTATGCTATTAAGTTTAACTCAATTTAATGCTATAGGATCTAGCCTTGAATATACTCCAGTTCTTTAAAACTGAATATACTAAATATACTCCAGTTCTTTAAAACTGCACATTTTGTCATCCTATTGTGCTACTGTATTTAAGAAAGTCTAATATGTACATAGAAGATAATGATTTATTTTAATTTTATTTAATATTTAATATATTGCTTATAAAATTAATTTTAATATGCATTTGTAATAATTTGTGTTTGGGAAATCATAGTTCCTTTTTCTAATAAAAACACTGTCATTAAATGGCTTAGTGTTTTCTAAAGACTAAACTCACACAGCAGATTAAAATGCACTATGTGCTTGTATAGTAAGATTATTTATGGGGAAGCAAGGACACATTAAGTGGATCACAGTTCTGAAAGAGCTTACCTTTGGAAGGTAAGATTTACATAATAATGACACAGAAAGTTTGCACAAGCTCTAAAGCTAAGCTGTGTTCAGTGATGAGCAGGATTCTATGTAAAAGAGTTCTAATGCATCATGACCTACTGTGTTATTATTTTACAAGTCAATATGTACTAGCAGCATATAGATGTAGGCTAGTTCTAATTTCATCTCAGGAGAGGAACAGAGCATGCTGGCTATGTGAGCAGTTGGGTCTATCTATAATGTGAATTAGCTCATTCAGATCAGTGATAAGGAGAATGACATTAGTATATCATGGAAGTGAGTTCATTTATACCTGCAATGTCCAATGCAATAGCCACTGGCAATATGTTCCCATTAAAATGCAAATAAATTAAAATAGAATGAAATTAAAAATTCAGCTTCTGATCACAGTTGCCAAATTTCAAGTGTTCATCAGCCATATGCGGCTACAGTACTAAACAGCAGAGGCAGGGCACTTCCTCCAAGGAAGAAAGTCCTTTTGCATAGCACTGGTTTACACTTAATATTTCCAAAGACATGAAGAGTCTGTATTAGAAATTTCTGCTAAATAAATAATGTAAATAGTTGCTCTTGCCACCAGCCCAGTCTTTGCCACCTCATCAGAGCAAATGAACACAGTCTATTAACACAGCCGGAAGCAGCAAGCATCAGGGAATTTTGGTAAGGCCTTGTTTCACCTTCCTCCTTTGACACATTGTGTTCAGCTACTGAGCCTTGGAGGTGCTGATTTCACCCTTGTCCCTGAACTAAGTGCAGGCTGCTTATCCACATAATTTCATAGTGGTATTCCTTCCTTACACCCCATCAGTCTGCCACCTTCATCATTTCAAAATCCTAATGTTTCCTCTATTATTTCTTTATTAGAAATTTTATTTATTTGTGAATCTGCTAAGATTTTTATTAAAATAATATTATGTTTCTTAATGATTTAGTTACGTGGACTTATGGTGACTTAACTCTAAGTCTATTTTCTCCAAAGCCTTATAAATATTAGTGCATACTACAGAAAAAATATTAGATTTTTTAGCAATGCATGTATTATATCATTGCAGAAATGTCTGCACAGGCTCTAGAAACAAACCTGCCAAGGCTCACATTCAGAATCTGGTACTTCAGCAAACTCAACACGTAAGTCTCAGCTTCCTCATGTGTACAAGGATAATCACAGTAGGCCCTCATATCCATCCCTGGATTCAGACACCGAAGGATCAAAAATATCCATGCACAAGGCCTTGGGTTCAATCCCCAGACTGGAAAAAAAAAATCCCCACCACCTGAAAAAAGAAATGAAATATGTTGTTGCTGATGTGTGTAATATAGTTATGCCTACAATGATGGCATCTGTACTAAAGGGGCCCAGATTTTCTCTTCTCATTATCCTCAAACAACAGAGTATAACCACTTTTCACACAGCATTGACATTGTATTAGGCATTACAATTAATCTAGAGATGATTTAAAGTATATGGAAGGATGTGAGTAGGTTAAATGCAATTACTATACCATTTCATGAAAGGCACTTGAACATGGTCAGATACTGGTAGGGAGATCCTGGAATCCACTCCCAATGGATGCCATTAGTTAAACAGCCTGAGCCAAAAGAGTAGTGAAAAGGAGGAAGTCATAAACCTTATAAACAGTAAGCTCACACCTGTGGCATTATTTACTGAAGCAATTATTGCCTTTTAAATATAATTCTGGGACTATACATTGAGAAAATTTTATGTTTTCTCATAAAAGTAACTGGCCATAATGTGCCCCAGAGAACAAATACAGTGATGAAAAGGGAGACCTAAACTTTAGTTTATGGGTTTTTTTTTCTATTTTTTGCTATGATTTGCTTTGTGCATGAATTAGTTCTTCAAAATAATCATTTTTTAAAGTCTCTTTAAAGTTCCTTTTCTTTTCTTCTGTGCCTTCCATTGTATATTTTGGGAATAAATTAGTATTGCTAATATGACTCCCAAATCTCAAAATTCTACCCAATCTTCTCAGAACTGAAAAAATATATTGGCTGGCTCAAGGATTTAAGATTAACAAGGTACTGTTATAAAGAAGGAAGTAAATCAGCAGGAGAAAAGGAATGAGCTACAGACAGAAAAATGAAGTGTAAATTGCAGAAAAAGTAAGTTAAGAAATTTGGTCCAGGATATTTTGCTCCAAATAATTAAAATTCAGATTTATCCATATTTACTATATGCACTTTTCCTAGATATTATCTTTAATGCAAGATCTACATTATTTATCATAAACAGGAATGTGTAAAAGATTTTCTTTATAAGTAGAATCCATTTTAGCACTGAGAAGTATTTCAACAGATGTTTCATTATTCAAATGGTAATGCCAGTTTTTGCATATGTCAAAAAATCATTATGGACATGACATTTACTCAAATATTACAGTTTTTCCAGGACAACTGATAATATTAAAATGTGTAGCATATTTTGTTTGTAGCACTGGGCTTTTTGAGTTATGAATCAGATAAATCAGTACTTTTTAAACTTTGATCAAGGGTTAGACTCTCGTTCTCTTCCCACAATCTGTCAAGGTCTGATAAAGTAAAAACTACTAGTAAAATGAAATAAAATATGACATGCAAAAAAGACAGGCTGAAGTATCTATCTGACTCAATAGGGAAAAAATTGTTCTGTTGCTTGGAACAAATATACTTAGATGGTATTCTCATTTTCTGTCTACCAAGAGACTCAAAATAAACACTGGAAGAATAACAATGGTCCAAAAGACCACGTTTTTAGTAGTATCAAAGAGGGCTAATATATGATTTAATATAAATTTTTCAGATAATTCTTGTCATTTAGTTATATTAGGCAAACACTCTGCCACTGAGCTACATTCCCAGACCCAAAGTCTAACACTATATGTGTGTGTGTGTGTGTGTGTGTGTGTGTGTGTGTGTGTGTGTGTGTGTTGTGCTGAGGGATCTAATGCAGAACTTCATGTCTGCCAGGCAAGTTCTCTACCAATAAGCTATATTCATGTCCCTCACTTAGATATATTAATGATATAATGGCTATTATGGTACATTATATTTATTACCTCTTACAATATTTGAAAAATTTATCACATAGCTAACAATGGCAAGATAAATTATTTGATATTTTAGAAATATTTAGGTAAATAAGACTTTGGGGAGGGTAAATGTATGATTTTATTCATACCAAATATAAAGATACTAAAATGTTTTTAGTTTATGTAAATTTTATAAGGCATAAAGATACATTCCATCCCAGTATGCATAAATCTACTAATTACTGCAAAGGAGTTAGATCATAAAAACAGACCCATGATTCTACTGCCTATTTTATGCATATAAAACAATACAAATTCCTTATACACAACTTATCAATTTTCATTACCTGAAGTGGATTTACATGCTGCCTAATTACTCTGCCTTATCTTTTCCACCCAAGGGTAACAACTATAATATGACATCATTTAGCATATTCTATAAATAATTGATTTTAAGTATTAGGTAGAGGTTGTGGCAATCGATAATAATGGTACACAGTTATAGAAAGAAAAATTAGCTAAAGGCAAAACAAATCAAAGTATTAATAATTTAGAAATAAAAATGGAGGAACTTCAATCATAATTGTTTTATTGAATTCTATTGTACATTTTCTCCATTTAGCTTCCAATAATATCAGTGAAAAGCCCATACTTTATTTACAAGAAAGCTATTCTTATACTAACATGGTATGTTGAGGGCAATCTTAATACAGATATTGATATTTACAACATACATAATTGCTCGTATGTATATCAATTTTGAATATATATGTAATTATACCTCTAAAAATGTAATTAATAAAAAATATGTTACATTCATTTCAGAGATTAGTTTTGAAAATGACAAATGTGGTACTTGCAGAAAGTTTGCTTTTAACACATATTTTATGTCTGTGTTCTAAGTAATTACTTTTATCTTGAACCAAAAACAGACACACACATACTAATTTCCCTTATATGAAGAAGGTGATCTGGTTATTCTAATTAAACTAAATTCCTAAAAAATGAGGATCTTTTACATGAAACTGGTGTGTATTTTCAAAACAATTATTAATTTAAACATAAAATAACCTTTTATTTATCTACACAATTTTTTTGTGTTTATACAATTAAGATGATTATATCTCTATACCATGAGCATAATCCAGAAAGTAAGAAAAAGAGAACACTGACAATTCATATTATAAAGAATAATTCCAAGTGTTAAGAAATTCTAATTTGGAACATGTATGAAAACAGAGAACTTTATATATTACTTATTTTCCACTTAAATCATCTGTTACATACCTATATCTTATGAAACACTTTACAATAAAAATTGCCAGTAACACAGCTTGTTTCAAAATGCTCAACAATAATTGAAAAAAAAAAACAAGATTAAGAGATATTGAGCTTTTCAAGTTCATATTCATAAATTCATAGGGTATACTCTTAGTAAAATACTGAGATGAGCAGCCTTATTTTTATATGGGATGATTTCTAATTGTACAGTGCTCACATGCTTTACTTTACTATGCTACTGTATGTACCTCATTAATAGCCCCAGATATTGCTACCAAAGTCTTATTTCTTGAAGCCTGAAACTACTTCATCAGAATTTAGATGATGCAATAGCTTTTTTGTCTTCAGAAATCAATGTGTGTTCTTATTTTAAGCTTCAGATTCATTTGCTGGTGGTTTTGTGCTTATTACATGTGTCTGTGATTGATATTTTAAAAAAGATTAGAAAATCACACCTTCCTAGAAAACACGAAATAGTTGTGGGGATTGCATCAACTATTGGAAATAGTTTTGAAAATACAAAATATAAAGAAATAAAAGATGATAATATAATTTATTGCAGGGAAGAAAGCTAGAATAAAATGTCCGTTGCTTTAAAACACATACAATGCAAGATATATTGTTTCCATTTGTCAGAAAACACTATGTAATTCATAGAAAATATGTTTTAACAAAATGCATATTCACAATTATTAACCTTTGTGCTATAAATCCTCATGTAAATCAAATCTGCACTTTATACTCAATTGTATTTTCTTCCATATAAGGCTTTCTAAAAGGCAGAATGTATAATGGCGAAGAATACAGAATCTGGAATAGAACAGCTTAAATTGCAATCCTAGATTTTCTACTTCGACTTACCTTCCCTATGCCTCAACTTCTTTATTGGTTATTGTGAACTTTAAAGGTGATATAACATATGAAATGTGGGTAAAATATTGCTCAAGCACAGAAAAGTGAAAAACAAAATTTTGACAATGTTTTGCTGCTGTTCCTAATGTTTTTTTTTATATTATTACTATGATGATGATGATGTCTCTATCTATTCCTTCCCTAGAGATGGTGTTTCCAACTCCATGTATTTGCTCTTCCACAATTCTAAATATATTTTATGTGGTTATAATTGAGTGCAAATAGTATAGACAGACATATCAAATCACAACATATCTTGGTGTCAGCCAACAAAGCAGCTCCCTGAATTTCATGGAATTCATTCCCATTCATCAGTATATAATTTTGGATCAAGGTACAAGCAGTTAGTGTATTAACCCAGCAGTCATCTTCAAACATGTAACAGAGAGTTTCCTATTGCTTAGGTTGGGGAAACTATGCGTGCTAATCATTGACATTGTAATCTAATCACCAAATGATAAAAAACATCATGAGAGGAAGCAAAATCTAAGGGCTGGATCTAATTACATTACTATTCAGTAGCTTGATGGAGAAGACAGGCAAGTTGCTGCAGTCATTTATACAACCAAACACTCAATAGACCATTCTAGGCCCCTGTCCAAGTTGTGACTGGAAAGCTAGTAGCTATGCATTTCAAATCAAGATCAGTTGTTAGAGAATTAACTGAGGGGCTCTGGGAACTCTGATTGGAACTCTAATTCTTATGATCTTTAGGTAACAACAATCCTGAGGCAGAATTTGTGATGATGTGGTACGGTATGCAAGAAAGAGGTTTGGAATAAAGCCAGATATATTTTCAAAATTCTTTCTGAGAGACATGAGCAAGTGAGGAAATATTTCAGTACTATTATATGTAAAATATAGATCATATAAAATCCACCCTTAGGGACTGTGTAAATACTAGAGGCAACAATTACAGAATACCTGCACACAGCTGGCATTTAGGAATTGGTACTATTTTTTACTAGTAATCATAATGTGATAAAAAAAATTAAGAAAGAAATAAACACTTAAACATTGTATAAAACTACTTATTATTCAGTAGATTTAGAGAAACAACACAGAGATTATACTAGGCATTCATGTAAGTGTCTAGCACATTTTAGGTGCAGAAAACCTAATGTTCATCAGTTGGTATGATCCTGGTACTAATGATTCAATTTCTAGAAACAGTGAAATGAACAATCCATGTACATCTGCCTTTCATACAAGCATGAATGGTATAAGACCTCACTGAAAACATTAAACTTATGAAAATAAAATGTAAACTTTCAGTAACTCATGTCCTTACAACATGGATTCTGCAAATAAAATCCAAAACATAGTACATGAAGAACATTCTTCAATTTTCTGCTCTGACAGAGGGAATGATCCAGAACAGCAGGTAATCTATTCTTCACTTTTATTTGGACTGCTGAATATGTGCCTGGGCAGATGTTTTTTACATTGCATAAAAAAATAAGGGTTTTTTTTTTTTTGGTTTCTTTTGATCCACTAATTGAGAAAGAGAAGCAGCTCTGCCTGGTACCAACACTCTTAAGTCCTGTGGTGATATAAGGCTACTGCTTTACAAACACATCTGTTTTAAAAAGTTTGAGTGTGGCTCAGTGGTAGAACAGAACATATGACAGCATGTGAGGCCCAAGATAAACCACTATAAAAGAAAATCCATTTTTAGAAATCTGTATTTTATTGATTTGTTAAAACAATGTATTGACTTATTAAAAACATCTGTCAATACAGTGATTCTGTATTTTCAATAACTGGAAAAATACAAACATATATATATATAATTATACTGGACATACACATAGATATATGTGTATTTATTATTAATCTGGTATAATTCTGAGGCTATAATACTAGATGACATATAAAATGATATTAATTTGAAAAATGTATCAGAATGTCCATCCTGAAGTGTACACTATCAATCCAATGTTGGCTTCAGTGATATA